TTACTGAGATTAATTAATTATCGTTAACAGATGTAAATGATTGAAAATTTTAAAAAAATATTCGACATATGAAATGTTATTTTAAACTACAAACTCCAATCTCATATCATCAACGATAATACCACAAGAGATGATGATTTTTTGAGAACATTTTGTTGTTTCCTTGGAAATTATGCGTATACATTATTAAGGAAACAACAAAATTCTCACCTCATGTGGTATTTGGAAATATGATTTAACAATATAAAGATAACTTTTAGGCTCAATTTAACGTTAATTTTATTTGTTTAAAATATAAATGTTAATATAAATTAATATTTGAACAACAAAAATGTTTTTTGTCCAATAATCAAGGGTAACACCACAAGATATGAGAAGTTTCTGAGAACAGTTTGCTGTTTCTTTGGTCATTTTACGTCTAAACTTTATGAAAGAAAATCCCCATTTAATATACCACACGCCGTCAGGTGTCAGATTGTACTGCAAATCTCACTACTGTGCACCAAGCACAATCCCTAGTCAGAGCTCATTAAATCAAAATAAATGCTGTAGGACGCCGCGCTTAGAATGCAACTCATTTCCACACAGCTTGTGTTACATGCTTCCTCCATGGTCATCGTTCATAAAATAAGTAGTTAGGTCACTCTAACTCTAGCACCTTTGGTCCTCTTTGAACATTATTTTGCCGACCAACGCCGATGAATTTGTTAAATAAGCGTTGGCCGTGACTTGTATGAACCGTATGAATAGATACTGTTCCATCGTACATAAGTGAACGATGACTGTGCCAACGCCAACATTGTCTGCTAGAAACCTGCTAGTTTTTAGACGGGGTAGAAAGGGTCGCGTGTCGCGTGTGTCGGTATCTACCACAGTGATTCTAGTAGTCTTGTTTATGTACGATGCCATGGTTATAAGTGGCAGCTCTAGTCTGTACGAATCTTTACAGCTCATGTGCGCTAGTTAATTAGAATTTGGTAAACTGTTAAAAAAAAAAACAAAAGGCGGAAGACGCGTTGAGGGCACACAGCTATAAAAATACTCAACAATTTTTTGCAAAATTATAATTTTATCAAAAATATTCCGATGTATCTGACTTAGCCAAACGCGGGAGCTGCGTTGTTAGCAGTGAAAGTGTTAAGGAATATGTCAATGATTTTGTCAGCTACGTGAATTTTGTTCGAGATCGAAACGTTGTGATCTTGTCGCAACTTAAAACATGTTAAATTTTATTTAATTTAATCAATATTTATTCCATAAACATATTAAAATGTCAGAATGAGAGAATAAAAGCTAAAATAATTAATTTACTGTGTGCCTAAATATACGTTTAGGTATATTTAAATTAAATTCGTATAAATTTATGTAATAATATAATATGTATTTTTCGTTAATAACTCCCGTTTAAATTTTGTCCTGGTTGATTTCTTAAACGTTTAACAACTATTATTTTTAAACGACGTTTTTTAACGGATAAATTAAACGGTTTTTTGTAGATACTAGTTATTGTATATTATACGTTTAAATTTAATTTACCTAACACGCATATTTCCAGTTGGCGATAAACTAGTAGACAAAAGTAAATAATATGTGTATATTTATATTAAAAGATTACTGGTATATTTATTTATATTACATCCATATTTTTTTTATGTAACATTTATATAACATTTATATAACATTTATATAACATTTATATAACATTTATATAACATTTATATAACATTTATATAACATTTATATAACATTTATATAACATTTATATAACATTTATATAACATTTAAATAACATTTATATAACATTTATAATAAATTCCCCGTATACACAGAACTATTTGATAAGGCAGACGTAACATGGCATACTAGGGCTACAAACTTTTCTCATTTCTACTCTTGCGTATGCACGTATTGGATAATGTAGCCTGCTGTAAGATTGTTGTGTAGATTGTTCTACCATACTCAATTGTATACACGTGTTCAAAGATATTGATTAAAAGCATAGGTAAGTTTATATTAATGTTTTATTTTAACTATTCCTTCAATAATTCCTGCATTTTATAACAACTGCTGTTTTATAGGTAGGTACAGTGTGTGAGATGCTTACAGAAATTTCAAAACATATCCTTACTTTCTAACTTTTTTCTCTTATTTTTATTGTTTTTTTAGAGCATTTATTTATTCCTATCACATTCATTTTCCAAATTTTATTCGTCAATTGATTTTTATTTTATAAAATGTCGAAAATAGCCCTGGCTGTAGAGTAATTCCTTTTTGCAGAAAATACGTCTGGCCTGCATCAGCGGAGTAAACGTTAGGAATTGTACCTACCATAGACATTATGAAATACTTTCTGAGGAACCCAGTTGCCATTAAATTTAACCGGGAAGGCCGTGATAAGCAACTAATACAAAATTTTTGGTTTCTTTTAACAATGATATGACCTCTATAATAAAAACGGTTTTATTGTAGAAGCCGCAAGGCATGGCTATAGAAATGATGGTGTACTTACCAAGCGATTTGACAGACCGAATCATTAAATGTGACATACAAGACTCACGATTACAAGACTGGCTTAAACAGTTAAACATAGTTATGGCACGTCTGGAACAACACATCAAAGTGATTACTTAATATTTTTATTTTGATAAATATTGTTTGTTTGTTTGTTTGCTTGCTTGTTTGTTTTCTTTGATTGTTTGTTTGTTTGTTCGTTAGTTCGTTAGTTCGTTAGTTCGTTAGTTCGTTAGTTCGTTAGTTCGTTAGTTCGTTAGTTCGTTAGTTCGTTAGTTCGTTAGTTCGTTAGTTCGTTAGTTCGTTAGTTCGTTAGTTCGTTAGTTCGTTAGTTCGTTAGTTCGTTAGTTCGTTAGTTCGTTAGTTCGTTAGTTCGTTAGTTCGTTAGTTCGTTAGTTCGTTAGTTCGTTAGTTCGTTAGTTCGTTAGTTCGTTAGTTCGTTAGTTCGTTAGTTCGTTAGTTCGTTAGTTCGTTAGTTCGTTAGTTCGTTAGTTCGTTAGTTCGTTAGTTCGTTAGTTCGTTAGTTCGTTAGTTCGTTAGTTCGTTAGTTCGTTAGTTCGTTAGTTCGTTAGTTCGTTAGTTCGTTAGTTCGTTAGTTCGTTAGTTCGTTAGTTCGTTAGTTCGTTAGTTCGTTAGTTCGTTAGTTCGTTAGTTCGTTAGTTCGTTAGTTCGTTAGTTCGTTAGTTCGTTAGTTCGTTAGTTCGTTAGTTCGTTAGTTCGTTAGTTCGTTAGTTCTTTAGTTCGTTAGTTCGTTAGTTCGTTAGTTCGTTAGTTCGTTAGTTCGTTAGTTCGTTAGTTCGTTAGTTCGTTAGTTCGTTAGTTCGTTAGTTCGTTAGTTCGTTAGTTCGTTAGTTCGTTAGTTCGTTAGTTCGTTAGTTCGTTAGTTCGTTCGTTCGTTCGTTCGTTCGTTCGTTCGTTCGTTCGTTCGTTCGTTCGTTCGTTCGTTCGTTCGTTCGTTCGTTCGTTCGTTCGTTCGTTCGTTCGTTCGTTCGTTCGTTCGTTCGTTCGTTCGTTCGTTCGTTCGTTCGTTCGTTCGTTCGTTCGTTCGTTCGTTCGTTCGTTCGTTCGTTCGTTCGTTCGTTCGTTTGTTTGTTTGTTTGTTTGTTTGTTTGTTTGTTTGTTTGTTTGTTTGTTTGTCTGTTTGTTTGTTAAAGAAAGATCCTGTTGAGTTTGTCATTTATAATTTTATTGTTTATTTTTTGAAATAAAATATTTTTCTATACACAGCGTGATAAAAAAAATGTTTCTTAAGTATGTCATTTCCGGCCAAACTAGAAACACGATGAATATAGGTTTCTAGCGCGGACGTATACTTTGGGTAGCATATCAAAGATATTCATACATATAACGTAGTACATTAAAAACGTATTTTATACCAAAATGTATTCGTATAAATATACTACAACTATAAATCTAATATAGACGTATAGGAAACACGGTTATAATAAATTAGTAGTAATCGACGTTTATATGTGACAAATAATATGCGTTTATAGGGCGGACATTTATTGGGTAGTATTCATACGTATGGTAAAAAATGACGTAATTTATCCCAAAGTGTTTTGCTTGTGATTATTTAAAAAAAAAACAAAAGACCTCAAATTTTAATTATTAAATTTTTTTATTCGATGTTCCTCACTTTACTAGGGAATTTGTTTTTTATTTGCCAAATTTTTGCAAGCGTACGAAATATTGAAGATCTTATTTTTTTAAATATACTCGTATACACAGTATAGGCCATCGAACATCTTCCAATATCCCGCGGCACAAATGAGAGTGAAAGCCACAGAGAGCCGGCATTGGAGCGAGCGGAAAAGGAATGGTGTCAACGTTGCCAATTATATGAACCAACCGCGGTGAAACGATGGCATCGCTGGTATTGTTCCTTTCCTGCTTGTCCCAGTAGCTCTAACACGAACCTATGCCAAGGTATATTGAAAGTTGTTCGATGGCCAATACTGTATTTATATTGATTTTACTTAATATTTTACCATAAAACTCGTATTTTCTACATCTTTTAAAATGATTTACAGATAAAATTTCATATAAAGTACCGTATTTTTCTCCTACAACTGGAATCTGAAAAGGTTTTAATGTTAATAATAATTCAAATAATAGTAAAAATGAACTTATTTAAACTTAAAAAAAAATCTGTCTGGAATATGATGCGTCTATTGCTTTTGGGAGAGAATAGAGTAAAACAGCTACATTTTTCGTTTTTATGTAAATTTGTTGTCAAGTTTTAAACACGACACCTTCATGCATTGGCGCCGTCGTGCTCCTCACGACTTTACCCATATGTCTGACGCGTCCCTGCTAAAGTTCAATCAATAAAATTAAGACGACTTTTGTCTTTTCTATGTAAATATATAAATCGGAACCTCTAATAAGTACTTTCTTTAATATAAAAAAATATATTTTATTGTATTATATACTATTTGGTAGGTATAATATAAATATATCACATTTTGTACTTATACCTAGGTATGCTTCTTTCTCTTCAAATTAATTAAAAGCTTATTGAGACACTGGAGACTCGGATTTGGTTTCTTCATTTTTAAGAGGCACAGATTTGGATTTACGTTCCAACATCAATATAATTCTAAAAGAAGGTAATAAATATAATTAACTAAAGAAAAATGAAGACAACCAGCGATTTCGTTTCTTAAAACTTACAACTAATATTAAATGTTGTACCGCAGTCATTTAAATGCTAGTTATATTACAGGTAGGTACTTACATCACTAAAAAACCTGATATACTTAATAGACCAATGGATAAGAAATTAAAATACGCAGAATCTATATTAATGGTAGCATTATATATAAACGTATATGCAGGAGAAGCTCCTAATGCTATCAGTGCTCCTCCAGCTACTATTACGGAAAATATTTTTCCTACTTCGTTTGGGGGCACCATCTTAGAAACTTGCGACCTAAGCATGGGATTTACTAGACTCCCTATGGATTTTAAGACACCAGCTAAAAGTATAATTTAAGGTTAATTGTTATAGTTATATATAAATCTTAGCTTCTTACCACTATAAATATAAATATCGTTTTTGGCTAACAATTGCAAAGTAGCGTAACCTATCATAAAAGTTAATCCAACGATCGTAATTACTGATTCCCTAAATTTCAATTTTTTATAAAAGATAATTGTTCCAGACATTGTTCCTATAACCCAAATAATATTTATAGCTGCGAAATATAGGGTATATTTCGTTAGGGTCCAATTTAATTTATGCCGAAGGAAAATAAATTGTATTCCATAATCGCCGTTAGTTTGAAAAGTGTACATTATGATTGAGCACACTGTCAGGAGGATAATAGCTCTATCGTAGTTTTCTCGTTTTTTTATTGCTGTATAAACCATGTCGATAAAGTATTTTGCTCCCACAATTGGTCTATTTTGATTCTAAAAAAAATATTCAATCATTTCATGCATAAATCAAAGCAATAACGTATGGTCCTAAAGTTTTTGAAAAAATTTTAAATTATTTATTTTTGTACCCAATTTCGTTTAATCAAGTTGCCATTGAAACTAAAACGTCACACGTAATCAAGTTTGATTATGATAGTTTAGTTTTGGAAATCGATTGTAGCAAAATGTCTTACACATTAGATATTCGTAAGGGCATTTACAATCTAGTTGGACGAATACCTAAGCATGATATTGTTGCAATCTACCAAGAGCAAAATATAAGTAAGTCAACCATTTACAACACTATAAGGAATTGTGAAGAGGGTATACCATGCATTAATTTTCCCAAAAGCGGTAGACCAAGAATTTTGAGTGTAAGAAGAGAAAGAAGACTCATGGAAGCTGCTAAAGACAAAGTTGGATTTTCTCAGAGAAAATTAGCCCGGAGATTTGGTATTTCGAAAACCACTGTATTAAGAACAATTGATCGCACAAACTTAGTGTTTAGGAATAGAAGAAAGACACCAAAATACACCGCAGACCAGCTAGAAAGAATTCCGCGTTGTTGCCGCGCATTAAGGCGTATTTACTTTGCCAATAAATTGATTGTAATGGATGATGAAAAATATTTTACCTTATCCCATTCAGAGATTAAAGGAAACGATGGGTTTTATACCGATAACATAGAAAATACACCAGACAATGTTTTTAAAGGTAAATCGAAATTTGAGGATAAAGTTTTAGTGTGGTGTGCCATTTCTGAAGCAGGATTTATCTCACAGCCGTATGTTGGTCGTGTTCGGGGAGAAGCCTTAAATGCAGAACTTTATTTTCAAAGATGTCTTACTAAATTACTTAATTTTTAAATACACATCATCTCAACGATAAAATAATGTTTTGGCCTGATCTAGCTTCATGCCATTATGCTAGAATTACCAGACAGTGGTTAAGTGAAAATAACATTGACTTTGTACCTAAGTTGGACAATCCTCCTAATGTACCTCAGGCTAGGCCAATAGGGGAATTTTGGTCAATACTATCGAGGAAAGTGTACAATAAAGGATGGGAAGCTACAAATGAAGATCAATTGCGGCGTCGCATCTTCCAAAAGATTGGAGAAATAGAACCTGCTCTTGTCCAAAGGAAGATGGGACAAGTCCGAAGAAAATTATGACTCATTGAGGATAACGGGCCACTATTCATAATGTAATTAGTAATTATTTTTCGTTATTAGTGTTGTTAATTGTTGCCACATGTGCTTTTAAAATTAAAAAAATTTGGAAAAATTTATTAGCATTTAAAAAATTTCCAAAAACTTTAGGACCATACGTTAAACAGAAAATAATGATAATTTTGAGTATAGTCCAAGATCCCAGCCCCCAGACGTTACTTATTTTCTCAGAAACGAAATGCATGGGATTAGGTAGTGTAAGTATGTACTTTGAGTGTATGTAAGTGAATGTAAGTAAAAATAGTATTCACATTTTTTAAAGTCTCAGTGCTGATTTTTACGTATGTTTTAGAGAGCACGATTAAAAATTAATAACCAATACTGCCAGACACTATCGGTCGGCGGTAACTTTTACCAAACGCTTTAAAGCTGCCAAGAATAATGTAACTTTACTCATAATCTCAATCTTGATTCTTATACATGATATTTAGGGAACTATTTCAATACTTTTTGTAAGTAGCCAGACCAACTGTATAGGAAAAATATTCTAACAGACACGCATAAAGTGTCGCTATGAGTATGAGCGGGAGACCGTAGGGGGCCACTCAATACTTCCTCTTCTTCCGATCCATTGACCTGGAAACGTTTGATCCAAATTCTGACGAAGAGTAAGTGCAAAATGGGGTAGGGCACCATATTGCTGGAGTATTAAGTTGTTTGCTATGTACTGATCGTTATTCTTAATCAACTCTAGTAATGCTGAATAATTCCAGATCCATTAAAAAAAGGGGCCAATTATACGGTTACTAAAAATGATAGTCCAAACATTCAGTTGCGTATGCATTTCATGAAATATTCTGGGATTTGAATAGGACCAATAACGACAGTTGTAACGATTTGTAATCTACTGTCAAAATCGTCTTAGTTAAGTTCTTTTACCAGAAGTACTTTGTAGGGATGAAACTATCTTCTGAATGGTATTTCTCTTAATACAAGATGTTATCGACAACTGTCTTGTACTCAATGTGGGTTCTTGAACAACATGCCCTAAAATCGCCACGTCTATAGCTTCATTTACTACAGCATTTTTTATTTTACGTTTTTTGTTAACTACTGACCCCGTTTCCCGAAATTTTTGTACTTACTCCAAAACATACTTTCGATGGACTTGTCGATTTTGATATTAATTGTTAAACAGTTGGGCAGTTCTATTAGCACATTCATTGTTCGCAAAAAAGTGAAATTATTTGCATCTTCTTAGCAATTGAGTAAACCATTATCACTGATATGCCACTTTTATGCCGACTCTACAACGAAATAAAGTAAACCTTACTATTTTACGGCGACCAATGAATGCCATCTGTCACAATTATTAAAGGCTACAGGAATAAAAGTGAAATTGTTACAAAAAAATTCCTTTTTTTTTTAATAACAATGTAAGAATTATGTTAAACCGGTTTTGTACCTTTGGTGCGCTACTATATGGGCTACGTAGATAGTAGCGATGTAAAACTCGGGAGTTATAATCTAGATTAGAACACCTTCATAATAAGATATCATTCGACCCCTCTTTCCAGTTAAGATTTTAGGGATGAGTCTCACCCCCTCTAGAGGATTTTCGTTCAGGGGGTGAAACTGGCAAAAAAATGTTTTGACCTAAAATCAAAAATTGACTGGTCCCAGCGTTTTTTCGTAAATGACCTAGGGTGCCTAAAATTGGCTGTTTCATTTTCAAATGGTCATCCTGTATACTAAACACCAAGGCGCACACACATATAGAGTGGGCTAGAGTAGAAGGGTGAGTCTGGAAGAGAGATCGATGCGTATAGATATCTCTCGCACGCTCAAGCGAATGAATAATGACCTCGCGCTCATACTCAGTGACACTACTAACTTTATGTTTGTCTGGGGAATGTTTGGCCCATCCGATTGGTCTGGCCTCTTACAAAAATTATTGAAATAGTTTCCTGAATATCATGTATAAGAATCAAGACTGAGATTATAAGTAAAATTACATTATTTTTTTGGGGGCTTTAAAGCGTCTAGTAAAAGTTACCGCCGACTGCAGTATTGATTATTAATTTTTAACTGTGCTCTCTAAAACATACATAAAAATCAGCACTGAGACTTTAAGAAACGTGAATAATATTTTTACTTACCTTTAGCATCGGATACCTGTTAATTGGCCGTCGCGCGTCGGCCCAAGCTAGCATTCAAAGGACGTACTTACCACTGAACTGTAAATGTTACAGTATAGAGTTCAGTGATACTTACACTACCTAATCCCATGCAATTGGTTTCTGAGAAAATAAGTAATGTCTGGGGGCCCTGGGATCTTGCTCTAGTAGATTAGGAATCGTGCTGTGTTTCATATTCCACATTAAAATTATCAAGTAACAATTGAGCCGTCCCTCAATATAGCGCGTATGCTGTCAAAGCATTTTATTAAAACGGGAATTCTTAAGGCGGGTACAGATCTGAGCACGCACGCGTATGAGGCAAGCCGAGGCCGAACCGAATGCCACGTGCGACGCATTTTGTATACACGAATGGTGGACGCACGAGACGCAAAAATGAAGGATGAGGATGACGTCGAGGAGTTGAGTGCATGTTTTATTATTTTATCAGACACATTAAAGAGAGAAAAGAATCGATGGTTATTGATATTCTTTTTTTATGGTGTTGTAATAGAACTGGCGCTTTGCTCTCTTAAGATATCACACTGATTATTTAAAGACTGGAGTGCGTTTAGAAACCTCGCACGGCGCGTCTCACCACATACATTAGAATAGGGTCCAGACGCGGCGTGCGAGGTTTCTAAACGCACTCCAGGAGAAGTAAAACGTTTTCTTGGTTCCGCTCCATGCAAAATAAATCCTAAAAACTCACTATAATGTGTACGGTGCTGTATGGTACAAATTCCCCGTCCAGACTGAGCACGTACTGCGCACTGCTTCCCTTTGATGTACCGCCAACAAACGGATCGGGGCGAGGCCGTACGGCACACACAACGAGGCAATTTGTCGCGCCTCGGAAGCCCTTCCACATCTGCATTAGTAATGGGAGTACTCGAGTACAGGAATCGGATAATATCCGATTCCTAAATGAACCGGTAGTATTCGAATACTGACGACCAGCGTCGGAATTGGAATCGATTCCGATTTTTAAATATTAGACGATACTGCTGCGAATCGCGATTCGTCTTATACTGCTGCTCACTGCTGACGTGCTGACTGAGACGGAATTAAAATAAAGAGTCGGGTCGGGTTCGAGGTTCGAGACGCTGGAATCGCTGATAATTTGATCGGTGTCGGTGATCGTCGTTATACTCGGTTGATGCAAGTACTCAGTACTCGGTATTCAATAAAATACCCGATTCCGTGAAGTACTCGAACCCTTAGTACTCGATTCTCGAAAGTATCCGATTCTTTCCATCATTAATCTGCATGCTCATGCGTCTTCGGCTTGCCTCATACGCGTACGTGCTCAGATTTGTACCCGTCTTTAGGAGCAAGCGCGTTGTGCTTTTCGGACGTACACAATGTTTTTGGCCGGTCGATTGTCATAAATGTTAAGAGAATAGCGGAAAGCACGAAAAAAAAAACGATTAATAACTATTTGGGTAATTTATTATTTATATGTAATTTTTGTCTTAATCATTTTTTAATACTTACCAAGGAATTTTCAGAACTATCTGCAGTCCCCTCTCTCATCGGAAGAGATTCTGGAATAAGAAAAATTGTGTACACAATTCCAATGAGCATACTTCCTGTGCCAATGGCGAAAACGGATTCGTAATTAGTAGCATAGAATATGTAGGAACTTAAAACACTTCCCAAAAGCACACCACAGTTAAGAGCTGCTTCGTAGAATGCCATTCTAAAAATTTAATAAGATTTTGTTACTTTACGCTAGCAAAGAAAAGTAAAAAAACGTTTACTTTTTTCGAGAACGGTTCTCAAAGATTACCAAGATTACTTAGCCATGCCGTACGCCACTAGCTAAGTTTATTTAACTGTTTTTTGTTATTACAGGTTTGTTCGGGTTTTCTTAAAACTTAATGCAAACCGTCCAAGAACCAGTGGAACAGTTAAATTCCAAACTGGTCAACTACTAGTCCTCTGATAGTTCTCAAAGTATTTTTGAAGAACTAGAACAGACCTAATATAGGTGTATCTTATGACACCAAAACTATTTGTCCATTTTGGTAAAATTATACTGAGTAATAAAAAAAAATTATATCCATTAATAATTTTTGAATTTTCAACTTTAACACTCTGAATTTCGAGAACGAGTAACATTTTACCTAAGCATGTTTCGTTTATTCGTGTCTTATTATCAATCAGAAAATAGTATATTATGCAACGATCATGTAATGATGGTTATTAATACACGAGCATTAACCGGGATACGAAACGAGCCAAAGGCGAGTTTCGTATGGTTTATGCGAGTGTTTTAATAACCATTACATGAGAGTTGCATACGCTATTTTTTCTACACCCGATAAATAATCAAGACCTATAAATATTATATTTATATTGGTATTGAACACAATAACAGTAATTACTCGTATTTCTATAAAAAATTCTACAAAATTGTAATTAATGGTATTACTTCAGGTATTGGTATTTCCCTAGATTTTTGCGGTAAAATATTTTGTACTGTATTTTCTGCTTTCTCCGATATGTGTGGAGGAGTCTTCTATATCGCTAATATCAGACATTTTAATATTATAATTATCGAAGTTTAGCTACCTACGAAAATTTAATACGTTTTGACAACTAAAATAATTACATAGGAACCTAGGACAAACGTCAAACAGCATGCTTGATTGAAAAATTGTAGGTTTCTATTGATTAAAAATCTGTATCGTAATGAAAAATCTGTATCATAATGGGTATCATTATGAAACGGATTATGGGCATATAAGTGCATTATTATAATACGGGTGTAGAAAAACTTTATTTAACCATTCTTTTAGTACTTAATAAAAGTTCATAATTTTTTACTGTTAAGTGTGTTTAAATAATAATGTAAAACTTTTTTATTTTGTAAAATAAAATGCAGAAAACCTTTTAAAATTGATTGAGTGTTAAATTTTTTACAGATACAAAAAAAATCATTATGCTTACCTCATACCTCTGGTTTCGGGAGTTGAAATATCAGAAAGATATGATAACGTTATCGCAAAATATGTTGTGCCACCACCAGTTAGCATAGATGGTATGGACGCAATTAAAAAATACCAGGGGTTCAAATTTTCAAAATAACTAAAAATGATCATTATAAATCCACCCAATCCAATACCTACAATTAAAAGAAATTGTGAAATATTGTGAAAATTCAACTTTAATCTATTTTATGACAAATCCAATTTTAAATCAAAAATACAAAGGAGAACATATATTTTATAGCAAATAATATCTTTTTTAAACATAATTAGCTAGAATGGACTTATTTTATTTTAAATAGTGTTGTAACTACACCCAACAAACGATGAATTGCCGGGATATTGCTGGCCTTCTGCTGTAATTGAAGGGAAAATGTATGCGACGATTAAAAGATAAAAGACTACTTTTAGCCTTTCGATACTGACCCAGCATTATGTTGGTTGATGATGGCCTTATGAAGGGTAAGTAAATGTATTGTGTAAAAGCATGGTAAACGTCAAAAGGCCTTTAACTGACGCAGACCCAACGCAAACAGCCCAGGAGAGTTCTGTCCCACGTTCATAGATAACCAGTCTCGTATTGCTGGTATTCACTTATTCAGTATTCATTGTAATTTCTTACGTTTACATGTTATTAATTTAGAATATTTTGTAAAAATACTTTTTGTAGGAAACATTTTTTCTCTATTATATATCTGAATTAAATAAAATGTCTACAATATTGTATATTGGAATGCCTTCTGTTTTAGTATAGAATTTATAGTTCAAACGGTACTACTGGCCAATGAGGCACTCTCGAATCGTCTGTATGGTCATGTGCCCGGCACGAGGCCTTTATTTAGCAGTCAGTATTAAAATGGTAAAATGCCTGCAATTTCCCGTTAACTTCCCATCAGTTGGTTAATAATTGCCAATATATTTATTTCTAGACATTAAAGGGAAAAATTGGAGGTCTATTAACTAGATTTGATGGTAAAGTGACTTCGACCCGACTGTCAGCCGTAGTGAGATGTATATGGAGGTCTTTTAATTATAAAACTTAAATGGCCATCATTACAATTGGAGGGTAACAGTTATTGGGCCTTTTATTCCCGTACACAAAATTTTGTTAGGCAGTTATTAGAATAATTTTATGATAATTATTAATAAATTAAAAAAAAAATAAATGCCTAAATATCCACCATTTTACAGAAAGCGTTTGGTTATGCTATGCTTGAGGTCAAAAACCTATTATGCTCTATAGAAGATACGAGCGAACTCTCTTCTTATGTGTGAAACCGTGTGACGTCCAAAAAGACTGACAGCAGTTTACAATTGACAATTCAAGAATTCTGTGCATCTAATTTAGTTCTGATGTGATTTAAATCTCACATCGTCCAACTTTATTTTTTCTTTGGATTAACGTTGACGTTTCTATGGGTTACGCCTCTTGGTCGCGATCGGCAGTGCGTTATGTAGATATAATTAATATGAATGGTTGCGACCTGGAGCCGTATTCTGTAACTATCTGTTAGTAGTGTGAGTACTCTTTCACGATTTAGCCTTGTATGGAATCATGTGAATGGCGAGAGCAGTGTTGCAAGACGTACGATATACTGAAAAAAAACTCACGATCTAGATTGAATTTCTGTTGCGTTAAATATGTGTTTTTGATTTTAATTTTTACATACGTACAATTAAAAATATTTTTAAATACACAAATATATGACGGTAGTTTTTTTGCAAAATGTCACTAATTTTACTGTGACGTCAAGGAAGCATATTTTCAAAAAGTACTACTCAATATGGTATTTTGTCGACCAAATATTGCACAATACACATTTCCTATATAGGGTGTTTTATAGTGAGAACTACAAAATAAAATTATTTTCATTAAGAATTGCTTTAAAACACTGTACTTATGAATTGATTTTTGGGAAAATTAATATCACTAAAATACTCGTATGTGTATTTCGAAAAACTAGGCAATTTTCAACTTATATCGAAAACTAGACATAGGATTGAGTTGAGCCAATTGATTGACACTTTTGGTTACTAGGTTGAGTACAATATCATTAAAGTTTCAGAAAATTTGATAGGTCGCCACTTTACATAAGGAAATAAGTGAGCAGTTCCTTTGGATGTGTAAGTTTTAAACCTACATATGAAATGATAAAATTCAAGACATCTTTAAAAGAAGAAATTATTTTTGAAACTGTGACGAAGTCACTAATTTCATTTTTATTTAATTTAAAAAAATGTATATTTCAATTAATTCCCGCCTGAGCACATGTAGAAGATCCTCCGTATTTCTGTTTCCCAGGAATTACGGTTTTCAACAATTGCGAGTACCCTCGTAGGTTAAAATATTCCTATATTTGCCAAAATCCGAATGGGCATTTTGTAGAGACGATTTCGTACCAATTATCTAGTTTTATGTGTCAAGGTACTAGAAGGACATTTTTTTATTTTTAAATTGTAAACAGTCGGCTGTAGTAGTTGTATCCCCCACTCGGGCTTACCGAAAAGCATAAATTTGATCACATCTGGGAATAATTACGCTCTCTTAATTTCCGGCAGCAGTAAACTCTTCTCTCTCCTACAGTGTCGAGTGAAATACTATGTGAGACCGTAATATCGAAAGAATATTGAACCACCCCGTTTATTTTCCTAAGGTAGGAAACCGCATATTTTTTTTATTTTTTTTTATAATTAGTTGTGACACCCGTGCGACAAGATAAATTTTTGATTCATATCCAGGATATTTCGTGGGAAACCGTTGGCAAATTTTTATTTGAGGCTGGATATAGGCTAGACTCTGAGTGCTCTCATTTGCGATGACTATATCCAATCTCTCTTAGGAAGCGCCCAGTTAACATTGAAGTGAGAGGTTCAACCCGTTTTAAATTTTTTTTATTTTATTACTTTTGGGAAAAAACCGGCCCGTTATTTTCTTTTTCGGAGATTCGATTCGTCCCCGGGTTAAAAGTGATCTCTGTTCTGACGGCGTTATCTAATTTCCCAAAAAGACGTCTAAATTAATTTTCGCGCCTCACTCCATGTAAGTTTCTTTTCTTTTATTCATTCAGCTGTATTTGAATCATTCCGTTCTTCGTCCACAACTAATTATTAAACGAAGCCAGACGATTTCTGTAAAATGAATTCACACAGCGTCTTGATCTACTTTTGGGCAAATCTCAAAATAATTTGTACGTTAACCATCGCATTCTTGTTCCAAACACCGCGCTGAAAATTATCATTCTCGTTCAACGTTCTCGTTCAACAGGGACGTTCCGAAAACTTTGATTTCATTTATTTACTTACATTTGATTACCGTCATATTGAAATAATTTATTTTTAATAAATTTTCCGTATACAGGGAGTTTCATAATTCCCGGACCGCTTAGCCTCATATGCTAACGAACCGTAAATATTTCCCAATATTTAATTAGTTTTTATTTAAAATAGTTTATTTTTAATACATTTTCCGTATACAGGGAGTTTCATAATTCCCGGACCGCTTAGCCTCATATGCTAACGAACCGTAAATATTTCCCAATATTTAATTAGTTTTCATTTAAAATAATTTATTTTTAATACATTTTCCGTATACAGGGAGTTTCATAATTCCCGGACCGCTTAGCCTCATATGCTAACGAACCGTAAATATTTCCCAATATTTAATTAGTTTTCATTTAAAATAGTTTATTTTTAATACATTTTCCGTATACAGGGAGTTTCATAATTCCCGGATCGCTTAGCCTCCTATGCTAGCGAACCGTAAATATTTCTGAATATTTAATTAGTTTTCAATTGTAATAATTTATTTTTAATAAATTTTCTGTATACAGGGAGTTTCATAATTCCCGGACCGCTTAGCCTCCTGTGCTAGCGAACCGTAAATATTTCCCAATATTTAAATAGTTTTCAATTGTATTAATTTATTTTTAACAAATTTTCCGTATACAGGGAGTTTCATAATTTCCAGACCACTTAGCCTCCTGTGCTAGCGAGCCGTAAATATTTCCTAATATTTAAATAGTTTTCATTGTTAATAATGTATTTTTAATAAATTTTAAGAATACAGGGAGCCATTAATATTTAATTAGTTATCAAATGTAGTAATTTATTTTTAATAAATTTTCCGAATACAGGGATCCGTTAATATTAAACTAGCTTCAATTGTAATAATTTACTTTTAATTATTTTTTTTTTCTGTATATAGGGATCCGTGATTACTTTCTTGTAATCTCGTTTAATTGTAATTATTCATTTTATTTAATTTTCTGTTTACCGCCGTGCCAGAACCGTGCACTAGCACCGTTGTATTTTTTTTGTAAATATATATTTTATTACCTATTCCTGTTTCTCTTATTGCTGGTTCTTAATCATTCTCTTTCAGGCTACCGTAGGGTACGAGGTGTAAAGGAGATAAGTGTTTTATTTTTATTTATTCTAGTATAGTGGCTACCTAGCAGTGACCGCCTGGAATTATTTTTACCTCCACTGAGTTTACCTTGAGTACACTCAAAAACTGGCGCCTGAGCAACCCCTATTCGGGAATCACCATCATAGCGCCACACAGACTCACTGATTTACTGTAGGTGAACCAGAAGCCTGTTACAAAATTTTACCTAAACAAAAAATAGGTTGTGTTATTTTTTTTTGTTGTTTTTTTATATGTCCATTCAATAAAATTATTATCAAATTACCCTAACTGTAACCCCATAAACTCTTAAATTACCCAGCCTTCGATGACGTCAGTTTTGATAACGTAGTTGTGTACTAAAGCATTCTCATGAGTTAGACTGCAGCGGTTCTCAAAGTGTACTCCGCAGAGCCCTAGAGCGCCGAAAAGCCTCTGTGGGGGCTCCTCAAAAATACTAATCATAATTAAAAAAAAACTTAAGGAGTCCTATAAGGTTGTAGAGTAAAATAAAATATATCTAAATATTCAAAACTGACTAACTCGAGCGTCGCACTCATTTCTAGACGCTTGACTATAGGTTCGTTCTGGGTTCTTCAGAAATATGTTAGTTTTGTTTTGGTTCACGTTCGTAACTCTTCCAGAACCTTTGGAGCATTCGCTGTTTTGATTTCACCATGACTAGTTCCGAACCTGTAAGTTCTGTGTTTTGGTTTTTCTTGGGAATAGTTCCATAACCATTATCGAACAGTAACTACTGTTTTGGTCTAAAGCGAGAACTGTATCAGATCCCAGACAGCACACATAGTCCATATCCGCATTTGGACATCAAGTGTACGTCCGTTTATGATTATTAATTTGACAGCTGCATAAAGATACCCAGAGGACGTCTGTTTTTGGACTTAATTTTAAGTTTAATAGTATTTTGACGTCCAGTGGACGTCCATCTTAGATTATTATTTATTTAGCCTACCAGATAATATCCATCTAAGTACATACGCTTTTTTTATTTAATTGGTCATTAAAAATTGACAAATTTAATCTATTGCATTTCATTCTATCAGCTGATATTATCTCGTTCGTCATATTGTACAATCAAATTATTGATTTATAAAGTATGTCAAACGAGATTTATGAATCATTTTTAGAATTGACATCATATACAAGTAAAGAATGACTGTTAAAACAATTCCTCTGAATAATTTTAGGCGCAGGATCCATACATGATGAATATCCACAACTTGTCACAAAGACCTTGAATGTTTTTCTTCCGTTTCCAACAACGTACTTTTGCGAAACAGGATTCTCAACCTTTGCATCAACAAAAACAAAATACCGCAATAGACTGGATCAAATTATTCTTTAAATTTTTAATATAAGCTAATTTTTTATTAAAAATCAATATTAATCTAAACGAAATATTAGGGTTGCAAAGAACTCCGTAAATATGGCAACGCTGAATATCTTATTTTACGAATTTACAACTAGTACCTATTTTTATGAATGAAATGTAGTTACCGTAACCTGCCGCAACGTTGCCAATCGGGTCTAACAGCTATTTTGTGTTTCTGACAGTTTCTGTATGACTTCATTTATAAAATACTATTTTTGTGAACTTTTGTGATAAATATAAAGAATTATGGTACATGCATGTGTAGTGTTCAATAAGGTAGATCATTTAAATCGAAATTTATCCTTTTATCGGTAAGTATTTATAGGTTAAGATATGTTGTTTTTATTTGAACCAGTGAAGTAGGGCACCCGTTTTAAGACTGTTTTGACTATACAATTTCTTGTACAAGATTTGATACAATTTCTTAAAGAATTTAAATTGTATAGGATTACATAGCAAATTGTTTGAAAAATGATTATCCAATCTAATTTTTCAGACAATTTACTGCAGGTTGGATAATATACAATTTATATTGTACAAGAAATTGTATCAAAAACTTGTGTAGTCTAAAATAGTCTTAAAACAGTTCTTAAAGTGATATTCCTTTTATAAATTAGTAAATTATTCTTATACCAATAAATAATTATTGAATAGTGGCAAAGAAAATTTAACGTAAAATGTAGAATACCTGAAAAATGATTTACCAATTAGGCTCCTATACATATTTTTTAATATTCTATTTAGGTTTCCGCAAGATCCTGAGAAAAGAAAACTTTGGTTTTCTCTAGTAGGGATCCTTGAAAATGAGCCCCTTCGTAAAAACCCAGAGTTGTGTTCAGAACACTTTTTTCTTGAAGATGTTTTGGTACGTGCAAATGGTGCTAAATATATCAGAAAAGATGCAAACCCCAGACGGTGTGAGGGCTTTCTATTTTTGGATGACTTATCCAACAGGTAAAAATACAAAATAATAATTTTTTATTTACCTCTAAACATTATTTATTACCTATATGTATGTATATCTAATGTATGGGTATTTAGTTCTGATTCAAATGTTTTTGGAACACCACCTGCTGCAAAAAAAACATTGCAGTAAGTAATAACGCTAATAACTAAGCATAAAAAAATTAAATGAAATTTTAGTTAATAAAATTAAGGTATTTAATATATTTAAAACGTTATTTTAAAAATGTTTACAGTTTTTTTACGATATTTTTTGCCATACCATGTTTTTTTTGTAATTATTACTTAAAAAATATATATTTTTAGGACAGTGTTTTATTTAGATACCCCTACCTACTTAATGTTAATATAAAATTTTAAATAATTTTGGTTAACATCCTACCAGGCAAATATATAGTAAATGTCAATAAACTATAAACCAATAAATATTAAAAATCGGAAGGTAACTTGAATTCGGTTGTATTTGAATTTACTTGTACTTGAATTAACCTACATGAAAAAATTATCATAAATTACTAAAAAAATATACATACTTATTTAAGTATTTTTTTAACATACTACTCTGACAATTCTGGTAAGTTTAAAACTCTACGCCACTGGCGAGCATATTATGGGACACTGTTTACAACGTTGTCAGCCGGTCCTAAGAGATTTGTCTTTCTCTCTTCCACTCACTAACAATTTTAAAACAATAATAGTCCGCAATTGTATGGAATTTATGAATGAAACATGTTGTCTCTATGTTGTATAGAATACTCCTAAAAACAGTTTTTTATTATTTTAGGACTCAAATATTTCGTTTTCCGAACGGGTTCTGTCGCCAAAAAGTTTGAGAATAGGTATCCTGGTAGCCTAGTATGCGCCGTCTTATGGATTTATACTTCGGTAAATATTTAGAGATGCTATGTGACAATAAGATATGTTTCACGGCTGATTGGTCTAAATAACATAATCTATCATAAACGTTATGTTGGTTTATGCCGCGAAAAATACCTTAATAATGAAAAGTGTGTCCCTTAATTTCTAAACATTTTAGAGTCAGAAATCATGTAAGATTTAATAGGAATGTACGTACCAATTAAAGTCATTAATAAAACTGGTTTTCTTCCATTTTTATCAGACCAAGGTCCCGCAATCATACAAATGAATATTGGAAAGAGTGAATCTGCAATTGATTTGTACATTAGGATAACATCAGCAGTTGGTTCAACCATTTTTTCTAAATATTTAGTATCATTGTTGGCTTCCTTTCCCAGCCGACTGCAATCGGTTTTATTGTATCCAAGTAAAATGTAACAAGTCCTGTATATGACTTGATTTGTAAAAATCGAACCTATAAAAACATAAAATAAACAAATCAGAATAAAAAATGCTAAATTTATCATTACCTACATTTGTTCTTAATGTAGGTACCTAAATAGTTACCTGTTAGAATAAAGTTGACGAAAGTAAAAAACAGAGGAACCTCAACGGTAAGTGTATTGTACCAGGCCATTTTTTCTAAATACACAATAATACATACACAGCCACTTTAAATTAGAAATATGTTTGACTAGCCATTTCGAAATCTAAAATAAAAATCAGAGGTACCTATTGGATATTCAAGATAATTTTTTTAATACACTAATTAATTATAATTAATTGTAATTGTAATCTGTGAAAAAGATTCAACAATTTTATAAAAAAAAATATTATCAACTATGAGATAATTTATATTGATGTATTTACTAGTAGTACCTACGGGACGGATGATAAGTTTTCCATTTATAGGCCGCCATACACTACGGTGTTACCTGACAATTTTAATTTATCAAGATTTAAAACAATTTTCGTAATGATTAAAAATTATAACAACATTTATATTACGTACTTAATTCAATTATTTTAAATGAATTACAATCTATATTTCCTGTTCTTTTATCGGTTGTAACTAATCAAGTGCTGAGTTTAGTATTCCGTAGGAGTTTAATAAAAAAAGAGTCCACAGCCCCTATAAAATCTACGCCTATGTAATACTTACATTCTAAATTCTAACCTTCATTCATATTATTTTCATGGTTCTGATAATTTGTAAAAACACTCTACACTTTCATTTAAAATAAAAATAATATTAAAATATTATTAAAATAAACATGACATTTCATTATCACTGAAGATATCGACCTCGACTGTTAGGTATATCATTATTATTTTATAACACGTGTCTGCTGCAAGTTTGATTTAATTTTTCGTCTTTGTTTAGTCGCTTGTAGTAGGTAACTGATAGATGGTGGATACATACATGAAAGTGTACAGTTTATCATTTGCGTTACATTTGGGAAGAGATCAAGTATCTTTCTACAGCTGATGCGTCAGTTTTTTCCATTCGCGAAAAAAGGTATTAGGTACTTTATGTAGGTACAAATGAAAATAAATTTACGTATCGTACGATTCGTACGCCTATTAACAGATAATAAAAGAACTAGGATGCTTATGACCAAATAAATGATAACCCAGAACAGTGGCGGCTCGTGACCTAGTCTATGAGAGGAATACTTTTAAAAGGCACTTAATATAAAATTTATTAAAACTTAACATAACTATTTGGTGTTCTGATAGGTAGTATTCCTCTAATTTAGCACAGTTTTTATTAACTTACCTTATTACTTGTGTTCTACCACTTATATTATTATTGTTATTATTATATATTATAAAGGAACTAAACTGGTACATAGAGTTGTATACATAAAATAAAATTAAAAAGAAATTAAATTAAAATTCAGTCATGGGTTATCCCGGGGCTACATAAATCTATCAAACAAAAAAATACATTATGCAAACTAATGAAAAATAATTATCGGAACAAAATAAAATAAGTTTTAAAAATCATCGCAATCACTTAAATTTACTAATAATAAAAATTAAAACTAAATACATACAACTTTGGAGTTGAATCAAAGAGATGTCGATTATACAAATAAAGACTTCAGATGGAGATATTACAAATAATGACTAAAAGCTACCAATAATTTTTTGGGAATATTTTAATACGGTATCATCAAAATTAATTAAAGATCAAAAATTTTATTTAAAAAAAAAAACAACATTAAATCAATATTTTTATCATGCACAGATGACAAAGAAGTTATCTTTCATCGAAAAAATAATAATAACCAGGTCTAGAAAATATAACATCCGAAATTCTTAAAGACTTAAATCAAGAAATTTCTCCAGTATTGGCCTTTTTTTGTAAATAAATTAATTGATGTCGGTATATTTATTACCGAGCAAATTCTATTTTATCAAGCGTTTGAAAAATTTTTGAAACAATTATTGAAAAAAGGATGATGTTGTTTTTAAATAAATATGCAATCCTTTCAGAAAGTCAATACGGATTTCGAAAACAAACCTCAACTTCGGATGCTATAGTAAGATTAACAAAACTTGTTAACAATTCTATAGATAAAAAAATAAAAGTAATTTTAAAAACCGACTTCAAAATCGTTCAGTGCCACATCTTGACCAAATTTATAGGAGACCAACCCTGAGGTACCCTTTATTAACAAAAAAAGAAACAGAAATCGGACAAGGTGGTAAAGAATTATCACAAACATATAAAAAATGAAGATATTGAGGATTTTCTCATGGACCCAATTATTAGATTTCCACCAAATTTATATGGGACCACTCCTGAAGTACCCCTTTTCTAACAAAAGAAGAATTATTGAAATCGGACACCGTGTTAAAGAATTATCGCTGAACATACATAAAAAAAATATTACGACGAATTGACCTCCTCCTTCTTTAAAGTCGGTTAAAAACAACCATGAATGTGCATTATTGTCTATCTTGCAAGGGAATTTGATACAGTTACCATAAAAAACTATCAGAAACTCTTTAAAAATTCAGATAACCTACTAAATGATCAATTAGATATTAATAACTCACCTTTATTATTAAATCTCTTTCCTAGTTTTCTGTGAGATAATCCCGGTAATGATATTATCTTATTGTTATCTGATTGATATTGTGATGTTTGTTTATTTTCAAACAACATTTTATTTATTAATAATTTATTTAAACACTTATTTATTTTAAACAATACTATTTTAATTTATATATACTTCGAATGTCTTTGAATCGCTCACTATTTATATTCACCACTGTCTATCTACTAATTACTATTTATCTTCACTGTCCATATATATATAGAGATTCTTATTTGAAGTGGGATTTTCAAGTAAATTATTTAATAAGAAAACTCCATAGAGTACAAATTAAAAAACCTTTCTCTAATGTATTAAATATCTCAAAATATTATATTACACCCTCGTAGAATATTACTTAACTCATAGATTAATTGCATGGGGTTCCGCATAGACAACCTACAAAAATTAAAATATCTATCTTAAAAAACATATATAAATAATCAAGAACCGTAAATGCGGCCAAAAAGTGACACTTTAAAGCGGCCGTAAAGTAAATGCAGACAAAAAAGTGACATTTTAGAGAGGTTAATAAATCCGCCTAAAAAAATTATTATTTTAAATATGTTGTATCGTTGCATGGCTGCAGTCAAGCGACGTTAAAAGCACTCAGTTCCATGCAGGTACACTCAAAGCTTGTGTGGGACTGTTTGGAAGCCTTAACAGAGCTGGGTAGTCAAAACAGACTTACCTTAGCCTGGGTACCAGGCCACAGGGGACATAATGAGCAATGAAAAGGCTGATTTACTAGACCGACAAGGAGCCTCAAATGATCTTATTGGCCCAGAACCCTTCTGTGGTGCAACAAAAACAATTATCAGAACATGCACAAAGCGGTGGATCTTTAAAAAATCTCAGGAGTGGTGAAAAAACTCACCAGGACAGAGACAGGCCAAAGACTTCTTAAAAAGACCATGACCTAAACTAACCGATCATTTACTAAGCCTTAAAAGTAAAAATACTAGAGTACTAGTAGGTCTAATAACAGGGAATTGTAGGCTTAACAAACATATGTGCAATATCAGTCTGACTGAAGAGACCTTGTGCCGATTCTGTCAAGAAGAGGAGGAAACGGCAGAACACGTATTGTGCTACTGCGAAGGTCTAGCAAGACTGAGAATCCTTACCAAGGGCAACTAGCTATATCGGAGAACTACTTCCCAGTTTATGGAGTCTACTACAAAAGACAGAATTAGACAAGGTTCTCTAAACAATGATTAAAGGATATCCACAATAGATCTGAAAAGGTCGAGGTGGGGGAGGCCACATGGCCCATAGTCCTAATTAAATCTAATCTAATAGCTGCAGGCATACTATTTATTTATAACTTTATCTGTGGGGGAAAATCTATATTGATTTCGGGAAATCCCCTAATTCGATTATACTACACATACATATCGTGGTGTTATGCAATTTAATGTACATAAGTGCTTAAATAGTAGTGTAATACTGCCGTAAATAAAAAAAATATTTGATTTTAAATAATCTAGTTTCATATATTTATAGAAAATACATTCGTAGTAAACTATCCAATGGGACATGAATTTATCCAATAATCGGATAATTATCCGGACTTGGCAACACTGTTAAAATAATAAACTGTCTAATTAGCAACGCGGAAATTTTCGTCGTCCTCTTACATGTAAAATTTCCGTATCTCCTACTAGCGCTACCGACGTTGTCCGATTGGATTGCTCAAAAATTAAAGGTACTACAACTTTTAACCCTGCCAGCCAGCAACATCTGCTAACTGAAAATATATTGAGCCCCCACGCCCAAGCCGCCACTGATCTCAGTGTCGTCTGTAGTTGACATTTGAGCTATTTGTAATGGTTTATTTTGTTTACATTTGTACTTGTAAATAGCCCATAATAGCTTTTTATGCAACCAGTTAGAAATGCCTTATCTTATATGCCGAGGTCCCGCAACATGAACGAGTTACATATAACGACATTTCGTAACGTGTTACATACAGTATTTTGGTAAAAAATAACTGACATCTAGGCAACCAATATTACTTTACTATATTATTAGTTATATGCATAACTTATTGTCGACTTATTTGGATGCTATTCAAAAATTTTAATAGGATTGCCAACAACGTGTCATTTTGACCCTGAGTCTCTGGGTTTGGCGATCATTCTCTGGGCTCCAGAGATTAAAATTTTCCGGAGGGCGCTGTGAACTTAAAATAAACGCAGTGACCCTAGGCCATTTGGACCAGCAGGTGGATGGTTTGAAATGTGAAGAACAAAAAAGGTCTTTTGTTATTCCCCAACAAACATTTTTTTCTGTGTCAGCATCATTGCAATGTTAGCAATCCTAAATTTTAGAGTATTTAACGATTTTTACTCGATATTTCTTTTCTTTTGTAATATAATTATAGAAACGTTTGTAAGGAACAAAGGCTTGCTTGTAAAAATTATAATATTAGCTCGCCGCACTTAGTATATTTGGTTTATATTTATTATTTATTGTTCCCTATTTATTTGTAACCCATATTTACTACCATTTGATTGATATCCTTTACCCGTCGAAAATCTCCGATTGTTTATTCTTTGGTTCAAGGTTTTTAAAGTGTGAGCCTTGAATTAGGTATTTAGTAGCTTATAATTGGGGTTATTTAACCATTTTTTTCAACTTTAGGGAATTCTTAATTGTAACAATAACGGTTATAGTATGTTACTGATACCCTCTAGATACTTATAGTCTGATATCAACTTGATCCTGGAATTATCGTATCTTCATCTGAAGCTACCTAAGTTCTTTCACAAGCTACATTGAAAGCTTGTGCAACATACCCTAATAATAAAACTGGCGCCCGAGTAATCTCCAAAGAAGAATGATTTATTTTGTGAATAGAAAGCATTTTGCACCATGTCGCTAAAGTCTGAAGGACACTTACCTACCCTTATTTTAAAAGATTTCTAGGACAGATATGCTACGCGCATACATCAAATCCGGAGGTGGTTCTCGTTAAATTATTTAATATTCAATGATAATTTGGTTAATTAAAAAACAAAACTTTATATGCTCTAAACACTTTATTTTATCCGCCTAATCCAATAATCGTGAACGGCCTGTTCCCTGTGCAAGAATTTTCAAAATCATATAACATATAGGGTACATATATCGCAGCTGCCAATAAAACAGTTTGTAAGATCAGCATTAACATTAATAACATTGTCACTGCCTTCCAAATAAAATACAATTTTGTAAGAATAAAAATTATTACTGTCCAACTAACTATTTTTTTGAAAATAAAATTTGCTTCTTCGTAGTCTTCTTGATTTACTTCAAATTCTGTAACAAAAGGTATATTAAGAAATATAATTAATACCTATATAGTGTTCAAATTAAAATAACTAAAATGGTACGTAATGGTTTACAACTGCAGGATAATAGCGTATTATAACAATGAGCACCAAATTAAGTTTAATTCTTATTAGCTCTAAAATACATATTCGGCTCGAATGACCATAATGATACGATAGAGCTTCCCCTTATAGATACTGATTCTAACTAAAATCTATATATTTACACCAAAAATTATAAAAGCCAGTTTCAGAAATACATTTAATGACAAGTAAGTTTAACAATAACAAAAACTACATTATATACAGTGTCGGTTTCGATAATATTAACAATGGCGTACAGAGCCAGTTTATAATCTGAACACTAACTTACCAAAATCTTTTGTAAATCAACCAGACATTAAACAAGAACAAGAACAATTTTTCTTGTTATTTTTAGTTTGTTCCTATTACAATTTTGCATTCAATGAAGTTTATACATATAAAGCTTAAATAGCGTTCATGTAAAACATAATTTTCAAAGGAGGGAAAGTATTATAGTGTCCCAAAATTATGTTAAAATTAATCATATTTAATTTTTTAGGAATGTTTATGAGTCAAGGAAAGAAATAAATGGATATTACCTCATACTCTAAAAAAACAGTCATTTATTAAAATTATTTCGTTTCACATATTTGTCATTGAAATAATCATTAAATACATTAACAGTAACATCCCAACAGTCATTTTTACTAAGTATAGTTTTGAAATTAACATTACTGGTATCATCACTTGAGTTTTCATTTTTTTGTCGATATTCATTTTCACATTAGAAGAAACCCTTATCGCAGAATCAACTTCTGTCATATTTTTATTCATAGTATTTGAGGTATTATTAGTTTTATACATTATTCTTGGAGAAAAAGTTTCATTTAAGTTTCCTGAAACAAAATGAATAGTTTCTAACTTCTACTAATCTTGAAATTATTCTAAAAATTCTAAAAATAAGACTCGTTAGTGTTGTCAATTTATTTTAATAAGTAGTACTTAAAAAAACAATAGTGAAAACAAAAACCAAAGAAAAATTGGAGCTGAAAAGAAAAGAAAAATGTGCCCAAGACAGGATTGCCTGGATCTTCTAGTTTATTCTCGATACCTTAACCGGCTTAACAAATTATACCTCTGGAGCACATTGCTACGACGGTCGAATTTGTAAATTTAGGGGTATTATCTCCCCTAGAAGTGTGTTGCAATAATAATAAAAACGATACAGGCGTCAAAATAACTAACCTTAAATTTTTTATATTTCGGTACTCTGTAGTCCATTTTTCCATAAAATACTTATAATATATCTACTACTAAAACATTTACTTAAGGAAATACATTTGAAACAGCTTTTACAAATTCAAAAAATATCTAATTTACTAGCAGGTCATTCCATCACAAAAAAGTCCAATGACAGTTGAGTTTACAGATTTTTTCAAAATATTGGTATTTAAACAAAGTTTTTATAAATCGAATATTCTTTATAGGAAATATTTATAGATAACGATATCAAATCGTAAAATGATTTCAGAAATTGACATCGGCGAGATAATTAGATAATTAACTTATTTAACTACGAAAGGTGATTACTTTCTTAATTAATTACTAATTGATACTACTAACCGACTAAACCAGATACAAAAAGTAGTTATTTTTAACAAGAGTGTAATATACATATTACCAAACAATTTTAAGCTGATTGAAAGGCGAAATTGAACAGAACTTTTTTATGAAAATTATATAGTATCATTGCTACAGTACTATTAATTTGTTCTGTTAAGTTGTTAGGAAATTTAGGAATACAACAATTTAATGTGAAAAAACCAAAGAAACATTTAAAAAATGGGCGCA